CCGTGTTGACACCGTGTTGGCACCGGGGTGGTCCTGGATGGTCCTGGATGGTCCTGGGCGGTCCGGGAGTCGACCCCGGATGTTTTTGACGGTCAAAAACTGCCGGGGTGGTCCGGGACGGTCCGGGACAATAGTTTGATCCGGGGTGATCCGTGTAGCCACCGTGCTGGGTCCGGGGTCATCCGTAGTGGCGCCGGGGCGGTCCGTGTTGATCCGTGGCAGTCCGGGAGTGAGTTATTGACCGCCCAGGACCATCCAGGACCATCCAGGACCATCCAGGACCATCCAGGACCATCCAGGACCACCCCGGTGCCAGCACGGTGTCAACACGGACCGAATCCCGGATCACCCCGGATGGGGTCCGGGATGGTCCGGGACGGTCCGGGACGTATATGGGACTGTAGCTTAAAAGCATCACACTTTTTTGAACAAAACATCCCGGACCATCCCGGATCACCCCAGACGATGGTCCGGGATGGTCCGGGGTGGTCCGTGCTCGTCCGTGCTGGTCCGGCTTTATATGGGACTGGGGCTTAAACTACTCAATGAAGCGAATTATATATTTTTTTTAATACGCTTTAACAAACAAAAATTATGTATCATGCTGAATCTGGAATAGGGGCGAAGGAGACAAAATAAAGCAAATAGGAAAATGGGGATGACAAAAGGAAATAGATATATTATTTAACATGTATACTGAAATAGAGAAAAATAAAAAGGCTTGATTTTAGAACAACAAGTTTTATAACCTATCAATTTAGATTAAGAAGTAGATGTATTTGGAAAATGGAAATGTCATGGCGTTGGATTCACATTATTACCGACAAAACAACAGGCACATTACAACAAACCTGCAAAATATATCTCAAAACAAGTAAACTAACGTGATTATGACATGAATGTAACCTTATACGTCTGAACGAGCATAAAAGTGTCGTCAGTGAATCGTTATGAATTACAACGACAGAAAGAAAAACAAAATCCATATTATATTCACATATGAGAGCAGATGTGAAAGAAATTCAGATCGACAGACGTTCAATTTCTCATCCTACATAATATCCGTTACTTCTCCTTGGCATGTTAGCTCTCTATGATCAAATCTCTAGGAAAGTTAAAGCCGGCGGGGATCCCATAGGTTCTTGGGCAACGATCCACAATAAAATCTTAATCAGATAGAGCGAAACTTATTCTTCGGGCTCGCATGTCCCCATCGACGCCCTCACTCTTAACTAGAGCTCGATCGTCAGCTCCTGGCTTCGTAGTTGCTTTTTGGGAAAAGAGAACGTGGCTAATATATTATAGAAACGACAGGAAAGAGAGACGCTCCCTGAAAGATGAGAATAGAGTATAACATGATGAAGATAATTGAAACAGGAATAACGATTTAGAAGTATGAAAGATGAGAGGGAAAGAGAAAGCACCGTCAGAGTGAAAGTGACAAAGACAAAGAAAAGAGGTGCGGAGAAAACAAAATTAAACTTCACCATATTCTTTTGCGCTTTGTAGAAAATTAAAAGACCAGAGTAACAAATTCTCCGATATACAATAAGGATGATTGTACACATGGACATATACTCTATTTACAACGTTCTCGGAAAAAATTGTGTAAAGGATGCCGACGGTTATTAACTAATACCCATAAGGAATTGAGTGCACATTTTCACACTAACGCCAGAAGAGAGGCACCAAGAACCATAAAAGGGTTCCGTTTCGTACTAACAGGTTGACTGTATTCCACATAACAAGTATCACTTTACAAATGCTTCCGAGAGCCATTAACCCCACGTATGTCTCGCTGCCGTAATACACTACTCAAAGGCACAGGTGACAGTTCCGTTGTTTTCTAAAAGTTTAATCGATTCACACTCTTTCCCCAATTTCCAAAGAAACGGAGGTAAAATATAAACGACGATCTCCAGCATGTTTATTCAATAAAAAACATGACATAAATTACATTTCTGATAATTTTCAATTTTAGAAAATGAATTTTATAGAAATTTGAAATTCTACAACTTATTAAAAAAAACTATTAAATAGGAAGTATTTCAAATCAGTTGAGTTTTCTATCAACGTTTCATTCAATTTATAATATTTGAATCATAAATATTTGTTTCACGAAATAATGACCCCCACCAAAAATTTGTTTAAAAAAATAAAAAAAACTATAAATAAAATTTAAAAAATTAAATAAAGTTAAACAAATTAATAGGATTTAGTTTTACATATTTCATGAGTCATCAATACCGTAGCCTTGATGTTGTGAAAGTACTTCACATTAGTTAATAGATCACATCATTCATATGAAGATATAAATAAGAGACATATTAACTAATATGATATTAACCAATATGATATGAACATCTTTTAAATATAAATGTTTAGGATATTCTTCATTCAAAAACGATTGTTTTTCTTAGGAAATGCCATTCCGTATCGCTTGGAATTTACTTAAAGTGTCGAGAAGAAAACGTATTATATATTGGTATCACTCGAATACAATTACGTTGTTAGATTATGCACTGATTTCACAATTATCGGACTCATTACATGCAAACTATAAAAAAGTAGAGAAAACTTACGACGAGTGTTCAAGACTAGAAATAAAGAATATCTGTTTTTACAGTTTGATGGGATAACAATGAATACTGGACGAGAGGTAACGAAATCTTGCTGAAAAACCTTTACCACATCAAAAAAAATTAAGTTTCCTGGAAGGTTTAGATCATTAGTTCATTGGTTTTCTTCTGTTTTAAACAACCCGCCCTCTTTAACGTTAACAAGTTAGAGGTGACGTCAGGCCTCTCTTAAATTGCAATCCATTTACCAAATATCTATATCTTTTTAAACCACAATAGATGAAACTATCAGTTCTTCAAAAGTATATATAATTGACAGATATTTTGAAAGGAATACATATGTCGAAAATGAATATAATCGTCGTCTACTTATTTTTAGTATTTATTCACACGAAAACAAGAGTGATGAACTGAAATACAAGTATAGAGCAAATGGATATTCGGAGAGTCTCCATCAATGTAATGTAATGTAATGCTCCTAATGACAATTTCACTGACACTTTTGGTTGAATTCAAAGCGAGCATAAATATGCAACGCAAAATTTGGAGACGGAATATTGATTAGGCGCCCCCGCCATTAAGTGCTATAATGATGGAATTAGGAACACCCAAAGTATTAGTTTCGTTTCATGATAAGCCATGAACCCTTTTAAAGGAATACAGTAAGGGATTTTGAGTAGAGGAAAATCAATGTCGGCATTGATGCAATGAGTTCCTTATTACTGATATCAATTGATGAAAATTGATGTAAACGTTTGCGCATTCCATCTCCATTTTGCATCTGATGGAATTCTAAAATTATTACGTAAGTTGCAGATAATGCAATGTCAAAGCCAAAAGAAAGTGATGTAGTATATGTGAATAATCATCTCTCAACCCTAACGTATGTCTCCCTTCTCTCTCTCTCTGTTTTTTTAATTTTCTTTATTTTTCCTTCTTCTTTTTCATCTTTTCTTTATCCTCTCTCTTGCATTGTTTGTTTTTAAGTTGTAATATCTTTTCTCTCTCTGCTGTTTGTTCATTTTTTTCTAATTCATTTTTCTACATGCTTTTTTTCTTCATTTTTCATCCTATCAATAAGCAAATCTCAATGCCCGCCTGATACATGGTTTATTCCAAATCACGATTCGCCCTTTGGATTTTAAAGCGCAACATTCCAATGTGATAACAGTTTTTCATGGGACGATAAATCGTTATTTATGAGTTCATTACATGACATAGTCGCATATATAACTGCACATATTGATTTACCGACAAAAGGTATAGACTTTTATGAAACATTCATGTTCCATCAACAAGGAGCCGATCCTCCAATCCAGCCCACCCCCCTCCTTTTTGCCATGCTTACGTTTTATGTTGTTATTTATTCTAGTTTATTTCTTTTTTGTATGGTTGCAATGAAATGTGCATTGTCATTTTATCGTTTCGAAATATATCACTAACGATTTCCGGTGTTGTACATATTCTGTTGTGAAACTGAACAGCTGTTCTTTTCGAAATAATATTGTTTGGGTGGCCCGATCACGTGTTATGTAATTTCAAACAGCAAGCAAAGGGCGCCACATCAAATATCTTTTGGATTGAAATATACTCACACAATATTAACGTCCGTAATCATAAAACAAATGCAAATCAACATTTATATTTTATTGTAAATTTGAAATATCTTCTTTGACTGTTTGATTCATTGTAAAACAATATTGGAATACAAGTATAACAATCTCATTTGTAAAACTTAAATAAATTTTGAACAAAGACACTGATCTGGAGTCGAAGAGAACTTTGGCCCATATGTCTTAAATAATATTGAATAACTCAGCTTGGCATCTTGCCAATAGAATATTCAATTTCTATATCATACCCTAGATCAGTTATCTAGGACACATAACGAAATGTATGGAATAACCGGTGGCTAAATGCGCTGTGGGAATTATGAGATTGAAACTGTGCTGCCTGGTATAAATCTGGTTGTTATATTTTCGTTTACGATTTATCCTTGGTTCAGGAATTAATAAAATTGAGAGAAAATAAAATGCGGCTCAAGTGATTATTGACCATTACCATGATTACAGTTTATGAAACATAATGATATCCGGAATGCAGGGCGTACTTATTTGTCGAATTGGGCCAGGAGAGTTGTATCAAAATGCTGCAGGATGGGTCCCAATATTGAGGGAGGGGGTGGCGCACAAGTCTTATTGGGTGCAGGGGTTATATATCAGGAGGACTAAACGTAAGAGAGAAGGGCTATATAATTGAGGGGGGGGGGTAATATAAATTGTTGTTGCTTTTGATGTTTCTGGTCCCCTCTTTATCCCTTTGAAAGTGAGTGGCATGTTTCCTCTTGCCTCGCCCCAATACGTCACTGAACAGAGTAAAATGTTGAGATGAGTTCTGAGAGATGAAAAGGGAAATACTTACGAGATGAATGACCTGTGAGAGGAGCAGCATCATCTCCAGGTCAATTGAGGTGCTGAATTGCTTGACGGGTCGTAGAACTTTCGAGTAATTTTTAAATAAGTCGGCCACTAGACGTTTGTGTTGATCCGAACCTCTAACCAAAGAAACGTGTGCTGCAAGATAATTAAAATATGATATTGATAAAGAAACATTGCCTTTCAGTTCACTCTTGATCTTAAAGCTTATCAACACTAGTGTGGCTAGGGGATTAGACCACACAGCGAGGTCACTGATAGGTGGCTATCTCATCAACTCAGCTCTTACCTAGCATAAGAAATAGAGAATCATAGGGGGATCAACAGCACCGATTGGGGAAGTTTTCTATAAAGAGGGAGCAAGTAGCTACAAGTAGGACAGTAGGGCTTTAAATGCTTGGATAAATAAGTGGCTTTCAGTATGGGGCGCACGAAATTAAAGTCTATCAAATTCAACAACAACAAAAATAATTATGAAATAGTTCAATCTTTAATGTTAACTCAAGGAAAAAAACAACTCCAATCTAACACTTCGACAGTTTATTTATAGCATTGTGAACAGAATCATGACACGATTATCTGCTGTTGTACTACCTGGATTCTAGACGAATTTAAATTGAAATCTGCCTTGCTATTTTCAGTTTTTTTAATTCCAAAACACACACCAAAGCTGGAAACTTTTTGCAGCTAACGTGTGTAAAATTAATCCATCACATTCATTGGTACGTGAACGTAGTTTTTCAAAGCATTTGTAACGCTTATAGATGAATGCAAATGCATAATAAATAATGAAGGATCTTTAACGGTTATTTGTGCTTGTTTTTACTTAAAGCACCACAGTTTAAGGTAGCTGAAAAATCAAAGACATAAACTGAGAATTTACAAAATGAAACGAAATGAATGTATGAATAATGAACTTGTTATTAGTAAGACACAGAAGGGCTATATCATACTCAGATAGCGTGACTAGCCTGCAGCCCTACTACACGTAAATTATGTCTACCAGTAACCATTTATTCACCTGGGTACAAAGTGGCTTAATCATTTGTGGTTAACGTCTTTAAAAGAGAGAGAGGGAGAGAGAGAGAGAGAGAGAGAGAGAGAGAGAGAGAGAGAGAGGAGTAAGGGGGTATATTTAAAGAGAAATAGATAGACAGACTAACATACAGAATAAAGAGTGGAAAAGGGATTAGTGTACGTAAGAAAGGAATCATGGATTTATGGTAGATTGGTCATGTTGGGGGCATTGGATAAAGGAAAGGAAGAAGCGGGTTTCTGCAAAATGCACTCCGTCATTTTTTTCATCCGAATATAACATACAGACAAAGACCCTCAAAAACTCACTTACAATTGACGAAATAAACCGCACTCCATTATCAATAATGTACCAAAATAACCTTTCATTCTTATTTTCAACTCTTTTTTTTTAGACTGTAACAACTTAACGGGCCTTATTTTTTCTCCAGAGGTACCTGGGCAAAAATAATGATACTTCATCGATTCGGACAGGAACCTCCGAAATGTTATTCATGAAACAAACAGCCGACGCGAAAAGAGGAAAGGATATTATGCTGGGAGAAACACACGTGATTAATGGAGGTACCTGGTCCAGAATCAATCATACCTTTTACTCATCGCCATGAGCACTTCAAGCGAGGTAGGCATAAAAGCATTTTATAAAAACCAGAAGAATTTTGAATTTAACTCTCGCAGGAAAGGTTGGAAGAGAGGAAAGCAAAGAAAAAACATGAATATTTAATGGACAGATTGATGGCAGGGTACTTGAAACTGACAACAGACAAAATTAGATGGGAAAGGCATGGAAATTATTTCTAAAATTATAAGTAGGCTCTGAACAAATGCCCCAAGTCATTTACACTTACATGTTTCATTTTATTTAATAGAAAAGGAATAAGAGCGGTCGATCGTGGTAAAAGTCTTTTTTCGTATTACAGCACTTCCCTTTCAACCATACAAAATACAGATGACAGATTCAAATTATATGTAATGCTTTGAAGTTACACACGAAATTATGTATACATTTAGATAAGTACTAATGGCATATTAACATTCAAAGAATTGACAAAGAGTGCAAATAAGTGTACCGAATATTAACTGAAAACGGAAATGAAAAACAAAAACACGTCAGGAAAAAAAAAAATCTTGATATTGCCAAAGGAAAATGACTCGTTGAAATGGAAACGCTCCTTCATGGCCGTACTTTCCAATGTTATGACTTTGCTCAGTCACATTTTTCTCATTTGTAACAAAAATCGCTACCCTGACTAGGGAAGCTAGAGTTTCAATAGTATTTTTCTTGGCATTACTTTCAGAAGGGGGAGGGGGTGAAATAGCAAAACTAAATAAATGGAGTAGCTTAAAAACGCCTAAAGTCCAACTTACAACAGTGGAGCGCCAGGAGTGTCAAATCTGAAATACATGAGCGCTTTTTATTATTATTGTCATTATCATTATTATTATCATCATCATTAGCAGTAAAGTAGTAGTATCCAGGACAACCTTTAGGTATATAGGTTCTTAGCTTGACAAAAACTATTCAAAAATAGAAACTAAACCTAATACCAACATAGCCCGTAACAACATTATGTGGCTAATAGAATATTGTAATTGCGCCTTGTAATGTTTAGTAATATAGCATGAGTGAGCCAAAAGTACTCAATCCTTTGAAAATATCCCCATATTAATACAAAAGAAAAGAGAGAAAGGACATAGATTCTGGTGTTAAAATGACCCTATCTGTCTCATAACAATGTAGGGACTCATGAGAATCAACGCACACCCGCGGACACACGCACAAGCACCCACGCAAACATAATGGTCTCCATCTTGTCCCTTCCTCTGTCTCTCTCGCTGTTCCTCATCCTCTCTTTCTCTCTCTCTCTCTCTTTCTCTTTCACTCTCCCTCTATCTTCCCTTACCGTTCTAGCTCTCATTCCATTCCTATTTCCTCCCCACTCTCCCCTTTGTTTTCGACTCTTTGTATCTTTTGTATCTATCATCCTCTTCTTCTCTTTCTCTTTTCTATTGTAAAATAGACCCATTTGATATCATTACCCGTACGCTATCGAATCAATCCGCACTAAGAACCCTTAATCGGTTTCCGGTAGCCGCTAAAAAGGGCATCGGAGTGCAATCGATTTTATATTCATTGAATTTCGTCGGCATGTAGGATTCCGGTCGGTTAAAACAATGCCTTTCATGCCATTGCCATGCTGCTGCGTAGCTAGAAAGAGTCGAGCATGACGGTAAAATGTAATTTCCGGAAATTGTATTTGACTGTTAAATGCTTAACCTAGATACAAAGGAAGGTTTTAGAGTCTTGACAAGTATTTAAGCTGATTAAACTTAATTTGTTTATGAGTTAAATTGTAAGGTGTAATGTTGATCACAAGTAGAATTTCGGGAATGTCAAAACAATCCCATTCATGCTAGTTCGTTATGCTCTGTAGCCTAGATTCTAACATAACTTTCAAAATGTTATTCTTTGATATTTTATTTGACTAATTATTCTGGAGATACTATTAGTTTTGAAAGCTTTTTATTCTGACTATGATTATTATGTTTATGTGGATTTTTTGTGTGTGAATTTGTGTAAAGAACATCATGCAGGATTGTTCTCAGTTCAAACAATGCCTTTTCTGTTAAATAATACATTTTTCCTATAACTATGATAGTGCAAGGGGAATCGAACATTAAGGTTAAATTTTCATGTTATAATTGTGTTTCAATATAGAATACAGTTTCAAAGCTATACAAAGCTGACTATGATAATTCCGAAGAAAAATAATCCTAAAGTAGCAGAAATATTTTCAAATATATCTATCTCTTGATTATAATGTTTAATTATGTTAAAGTTTGGTCACAATTTTACCTTAAGATTTACTATATTCACATCTTAAATATTCATAATTTGCCTTAAACTATACCGTTCGAGGAATATCAAGTATTTCGTCCTATTGGTGCTCGTCGTTGTAACTCCCTTCTACCGCCGAACTAGATGAGACAACCATTAGGCAATATAAAGTTTAAAGGGGGTTCGGCTGCTCGATGTTCGCCTTGAGGATACTAATTAAAATGTTTGTTGACCATCTGAAGTATATATACATATAAAAGTATTCCTGAGTTTATTTGGAGTTTTGGCAACGCGTTATTTGCTTTGAGGATACCGATTAAAATGTTTGTTGACCATCTTGGTATTTGATAAAGCGGTACGCCTTAGATATATACTAGGATTGTATTACTTTATTATACGACAACAAATAAAACATTTATAGCACCGGAATTATCCTTTCCCGGATGAGATAAATCAACATTGAAAATGAAATAGAGATATAACAACTAATCATAGGAAACGACGTTGGGGAATTGTCATGAAGCAGGAGCAGACGCTGTACAGGGTGTATTTCAATGCGGTCTATAGTCTCAAACATCAGACCCCGAGTTGTGCATTGCGACTGATGACGGTTTATAACATTCCCAATGTCCTGACACATCCTTTGATTCCCAACAACGTTAATGTTAAAAACACCTGAAATAGTGAATCAATAGCCTGCTTTATTTAAGATACTATGATTGGCAGTCATCGTTTCGGGAGCCTGAACCCGCGCCTATTGTGTTTTTTTTTTTCTACGGGGGGGGGGGGGGGGTCCTTTTTCAGAATTGTCATGTCTTTAGAATATATATATCATGAGTACACTGTTCTTTGACTTGGTTTCATGCGGTTGGCAAACAATTAAGACAAATGACGACAAGGAATGCTCAAGCTTTAGAAACGTGTTTTTCAGATATCGTTTCCTTATTATAAAAAGGTCATTGCTTATATTTAAAATCATAATTATTAATCACAAATTTGACATTTCCGCATTTCGATGGCATTCCTGACGCAAACTATGTTTGTCATTCGGTACATTTAATCCGGAAATCATGATACGTACTTATACGTTTGTTTTCTCTACGTTTTGTATGGCTGCTCTAATTTATAATTTTTTGTAGGGCATCGTAACTGCATTTTTTAAAGCCATCATCATCTAGCAAAGTGTCAAAGAAAAAAAAAAGTTGAAAAAATATTTCGTCAAATTTCTTTTTCAATTTTTTTTCGTAGTGAAAGAATAAAG